TCTGGAATGCCTCAAATGAATCACCTTTTACAAAAATAGGTCTTTTAGGCAGGTAGGATTTAATCTTTAGAATTACTAATTAATTGCAATGTCTCTTAACAACTTGTTCCTATCCACATCTGAAAGTTGATTCTCTTGTCAATCCTACAAATTTTAGGTTACAGAGAATATATATTCATGAATTATGATTATATTAATTTATATTTCCTCCACTTGCGTTATACGCGGCAAGTTTAAGTGTCGCTAGAGCTGTGTATCGATGCTCGGTGAAGTATTTCAATTCAAACATTACCTATACTCTATGAAAAAATCGAAGAGTTTAAGTACTAACCTTTGACCTGTATGTCGGCACAGCATGAGAACGGCTTGCTATTCCCCTGGCTGGTTGCACTTGATGGTGTATCTTAACTCTACCAATTGGAACTTGTTGTTTCATTGATGAATTTTGTTATCGTCAATATTTTATTAGATAGAATGCGCGTAGTGTTCGATTGTTAGGTGAGAAGACGCTAATTTATGCTACAGTTGGTCGATACACATAAAGACATACTGGCGGGCAAAGACACACATACAGAGTCTGACAGAGCGATAGAGGGAGAAAGTGAGAGAGAGAGAGAGTAATGTAGCATGAGGCCTAAATATAGAGAAGCGGGAGAGTGGGAGAGACAGAGAGAGACAGGAAGAGAGAACGAGATATACAGGGTGGGAGAGACAAAGAAATAATGAGGCCAATAAAAATAGAAAGAAGAGAGAAAGAGAGAGAGCGAGACAAAGACACTGACAGAGAAAGAAAGAGAGAAAGATAGAGTGAATTTCTTTCTAAATCAATTTATTTACATTTTCCCCACAAATTTTCTTAATCTGCCAATAATGTCTAATTACCAGCTAGATAAGAAGAGCATCTAAAATACTCAACAATACTACTGTGTCGACAATGGATCAGTCAATCAAAAAAGTAAAGGTCCTTGTGATGCCATCGTTTTCTCATTTCATTAAGTCAAGTATCGCACAATTATGACATATGATTATATAATGCTACACACATAGCGACGTACAAAAAGGTAATACATGTTTGAAGTAAGATTTTTTAAAAATATCTTTGAACGAATACCACAGTAACACAATAGCACGCTACTGAAAACTCTGAAATAGTTATTTCAAAATAAATATGGACAAAACTTACTGAGGATAAAACTAAAACTTAGAGCGATGAGAAATCATACGAACCAAGATGGCTTTGATCATACGAACCAAGATGGCTTTGCACTGGTAAAAGGGAAATATCGACTATGCATCAGTAGAACGAGTCAGAGAGAGTTGAATAGACGCAAAGTAACTTGGGGAATTCCGGAAATCACGTCAGAGCTTCTAATTTAATCCACACATTTGACCTAGCATTGACTTATTTTTAATGACTTATACACAGTCATTTTCTTGGATGCACTTATTTTTCCAGAATGTATGTGGTTTTGTTTTCTTTGATTTGGCTGAATCTCCATGACCTCAAATCCCAATGGAGGGTCTAAGTAACCATCGCACAGGGCCCAATATGGCCGAACGATAAGGCCCAATAGGGGAGGGGGGGGTGTCATGGTGTAGATCCAATAAATAATTGCATATCAAATAGTACTAAAATTTGACAAGGGATGCGATCCAACCTTTTATATCTATATATTTTATGTAGCTTACTCTTTCACTTAAAATCAGCCTTCTCTGTCGATTGCCTGATGAGTTCTGAACCAAAGGTTCCACTTTTTTTCTTTTTTTTTTTGTCTTTTTTAATCCTGTATATTAACTTCGCTTTTGTTTGTGGCTGGCTGGAAAAATATTCGGACGGCTAATTGACCCAATAAAATCAGCCTTCTCTGTCGATTGGCTGATGAGTTCTGGACCAAAGGTTCCACTTTTTTTCTTTTTTTTTTGTCTTTTTTAATCCTGTATATTAACTTCGCTTTTGTTTGTGGCTGGCTGGAAAAATATTCGGACGGCTAATTGACCCACTTGCCGTCAAGCTATCGAGCTGACAACACATTCTATCAATTTTAAGCCCCAGCCCTCAAAACCTCCCCCTTCCCCCCTCCTCCCACCAAAAAAAAAAAAAAAAAAAAAAAAAAAAAAAAAATTATTCCTGTTTTTTCAAGGGGAACTTAAAGGAAATTTCCCGATAACTGCGCTAAATGAGATTCTTTAAAATATATCAAAATTTCGTTTGGTGCATAATATTCTCCTTTTGCTTTTCGGAAATAGTTGGTGAAATAAATCTGAGTCGTAAAACGGGTGTGTCATTTGAATGTTAATATAGTTCAGGGGCGTAAAAACAAAGTGCGTTTGCGAGCCTTTGGTGAAGGGGAGCGCTAATTGGGATTCTTATAGAGTGCGTTACTTGTATGCACGTTTTGTCAAATATTCCGCCCCAACCCCCATTGCTCCATATTACATTTGATATGGAAGGATTTATGAGAAAAACTTTGTTTTTAGGGTTTGTTTAATATGTTACGCAAACTATTTATATGACTTTAAGTTCCATTATGAAATTTTGTTATCTTTAAATGTTATCCCTTGCTAAAGATGATAAAGAAATATGCTAGATTTATCTGATGTCCCACGCTACTTGTCAATAAGATTACGGGATACACTGTGATAATAGTGATATCATTTTAGAACAGTTAATGTGTGTTTATTTTGATTGAGAAAATCCTTTGCCCTACGTCGGCGCTAGTCATGCGTGCATGCGCTGTAAGGACAATGGTAAGGACAAAAAGAGTTATCCATACAATGGATGTTCATGTACAAGGTTTATGCCCCTTTCAATGCCTCGATCTGAAGAGGGACATGACAGCTTGTAACTATTAGTAGAGTTTGATCCCATCTTTTGTCATTTAGAATGTTGGTCATCTAGGCTGGTTGCTGTATTGCAAGAAACTACCGCACCTAAGCAGCTGGATTTGAGGATAATGCCCGATACCTGATTCTAAGGAGTCCAGCTAGCGTTATACATCCGCCAATCAAACCTTGATCCTGCATCAGACGAGACCGCGAGTTTCTAGGACTCTATACCCGACACCCCGCTGGAAAGTCCATCCCACAACGTAAGACTGTGAAAACTATTCCATGGCGTATAGCTGGGAAATCCACATCCATCCTGACGAGATCCGTGCTTGATTGATGTCTTTCATCGACTTCTTGTACACGTTCATACCACGTCATTACACCGAATTGAACAATAACAATGTTAAGTTTAATCCACAAACATATTTTTCAGGCCGGGCAATGAATCAAACACATGTATAACACAGCTTGCTATAAGTAGAAGAATATATATAACACAACCTTCGTCCACAATGTTCTCATACCATGCAACTGGCGAGCAAATAGCACGTACACAGTACACCAAAGACAGACACAAACATAATGATGGGGAAAAGCGTTCATTAACTAAACTAACACACAAGACAAACGCGCACAATAAAACATAAGTTTCGGTGCGCAACAGTTAAAAGTGAATACCCATATCCGACTTATCAACACCCTGAAAACTTTGGAAAGCGAGGAGAGCAGGCTCCACTTTGACCATAGAAGTGACCGCGCGTTTTGATCGATCAGTCCAGATCAACGGTTATATAATATTGATAATGTAAGTTGTAATCCGTCAGATCAAATGTATCTTACTACAAAGCGACACGTCATAATGATATTAAGCTGTTACGGGATGCCAATAATCCATAGCCATCAGAAATAAGATAATCAATTAATGTGCGAAAATTGATCTAATCCATGCCTATAAGCTATTGATTCGTCCCAATGATGCGACTTTAATTTCAATTAAGTTTTGTAAATTAATGTAAATAAATAGATTTGTTTCATTAATTGAGTTTTATTGTAGACATCTTTTCATTTACATAGATACGGGTTGGAGCTGTCTCCCCTCTTTGAAACATTATTTTTTTTTTGGCCTTCTCTGTCGATTGCTTGATTTCTTCGGTTGCTGGGTCTTACTATGGTGCTTTTTCTCACATCCGTCCGTCACAATGTGACGATGGTGTTGGCTTCGGAGGACGAAATCCACAATGCCTGGGAATTATTCTTCAAGGATTATAAGCTGGTTATGGGTATTAAGTACAAATACATAAGAGTGAGTTCCTTTGTGGTCGATTTAAATCTATAACTAAAACCCATAAAAACGAGCAGTTGCTAACTCATACGAAAGTCATCCACCAATGCAAATCATATCAACATTTCATACACTTGCACAGAGTTTTGTTTCAATCAAAGAACATCAATTACAAGATTCATAGAGCAACCAATAAAATGTGAATGTAAAAACAAATCATCACGAACTGCTTCGATGAAAAAATTATACAATAAGTGGTAAACATCAAATATTTAAATTGGCAAAAAAGGCCAAACAAATATAGCTTAAAATATAATTGATATTAAAACAATAAATATATTTAAATAAATAATACATGACAAAAGATTCTTCATATCACAAGTTAGGTTTTAAAAAAAAAAAAGTAAGCTTAAGGGGGGGGGGGGGGGGGGGGGGGGCAGTTTTTTTTTACACCTTGTCCGGGCTTTTTGAGAAAACTCCCGGTTGGTCCAAGTGTTACAAAAAAAAAGAGTTAACTTCTAATTTTCCATTATATATGTCGTCCTTCAAACAATAGTCATACAGAAGTCCTACACCCTACCTGCTGGCCTTTAGCCCTGCTGACATTCCTACAGACAGTCCTACACCATAACCGTGGCTCTGTATTGATTTTCAAAGTAGTAACCTCCAAAAAAAAAATTCAAACGGCTTACCTCGTCCAACCGTCACGCATGACGCTCGCTGCTTGATCGTTTATTTTTTCCCCCTCTGTACTATTTATATAAAACATGTTGAGTAGAGAAAGGAAAAATTGTCATGCAATAATAAAATGTATAAGTACGAAGTAAATAAATGAGAGTAAAATAAATTATTTGTAGACTGAATAAAAATCAGACCCCAAGAAGTTAAAGGGGACATAAAAATCAATGACTTGTGAAAGGGGCAAAATATGACACGATAATGAGATTTTAACAATGTCATGGGCTGCAATACTGATATCTAAATATACATATTATATATTTATTTAATTCGTTTAAAACTATATGTTTAGCGATTCCATGCTTCGCCCAACATGAGAACCTCAAACTATAGCACCATTCGTTGTGATAGTGCTACTTCGTACCACTTCGTTTATGCTTGTGCTAAACCGTCTAGTCAACGACTATGGGCAGTCACATGACTTTCACCACATGTGGCCGAAAATTTAAAACTCATAGATTTTATCGGAAAGTATTCAGATGGTCCAATTTATGGAGACTTTACAAAGCTTGTCCACTCCTTGTTAATTAGCGCACAGAACAGCGACATCTTGGCTCCGACGCAATCACTGAAATCTCCCACAGAACTCTGGGACATTGGACCGTCTCTGGCTCCACTCGGATGTGAATGGTAATCCTTCACAGATGCCCTTTCCTCTGAGCCATTGGTGTTGTCTCGGTAATTTCCAAGTTTGACGTCAGTTTGGGACACCATAGACTCCATGCGCTCCTCTACATCTTCTTCTTCTTCCTCTGGTGAGATTTGAATTCTATCCAAAATTGTGGACATATCAATTTTATGAAACTCTTTTTTTTTCAGCATCCTTGGGATTTCCACCGCGCCGTGTGCTAATCCCATCAGGACTTTGGGTCCGGCTCGGCCATTTTCTTTGCAGTCCGTGATAATGGAAGGGATGTACGCGAGAACAGACGTAAATATGCTGTGGACAAGAAAACAAATATTGCAGTCTTTCAATACGGGTAGTCAGTTCACTAGTCGTCATTTAGAGGAATGTTTAAGATGATACAGCTCTATTGTCCTATTACAGTGGTTCTCAAGCTTCGCAATGCCGCGACCCTTTAATAAAGTTCCTCATGTTTGTGTTGACCCCCAACCATAAAATAAGTTTCGTTGCTACTTCATAACTACAGAGTATATGTGTTTCCCGATGGTCTTAGGCGACCCCTGTTAAAGAGTCGTTCGTCCCCCAAAGGTTGAGATCCGCTGTACTAATTGGGATGGAGACATCAATATTTTGAAAAGTTATATATATTTTTTTTAATATTAAAAAGTAAAAAATAAAAATAACTTTTTTTTAAGTTCCCGTTAGTCGACTGACTTCAATCACATCTCCACCCATTTCAATCTTTCACAAAACAACCAATATTTCTTTAATTGCTCTGCACTAACGATGCGAGTAATTTGTTTTAAAATAATTTAATGCAATAGTTTTTTTTTTACTGACTTCCAATAACGCTCACGATTTTCATTTAAAGGAGTTTTTTTTTTTTTTCGTTTTTTTTTAAAAATCTTGAGCGTTTGAATTGAAATTATTTCAAACCTGGACGGTGAATCCTCACTTAACAGCACGAGAACCGTTCTGGCTCGACTGATTTCTTCTGTTTGATGATCGAGCTTCAAACGGCCGGGCAAACGCCTCTGTGGAAGAAGGTGGTGATGATGATGACCAATGGAGATATTTTATAATTAAAACATCAATATCGTTTACATTATGTATCACAACTGACATGACAACAGAGTGGTTGTGTTGCGTAATACAAAAGTTATGTTGTTTTGTAAATGGGGGATGAGTGTTTGAGCGGAGTCCCCATAACCTTATGTAATATGAGGACCCAATACTCTTGGTGTGCAAGTATGTGAGGGTGGGAGAGCAATAGTTTTTAAGTATTTTAGAGAACCCCGATGACAAATATGTTTTGTTCTTACCGCATCAATGTTGTTGACGTCGAGCCCGAAATCGCAAGAGATGGTCCTCTGTAATTTGGTCACCTTTTCCGTAAGATCCTCGTTCGTCTCTTCGTTCTCTGCGTCATAGACGATCAAGACGTCTAAAACGTCATCATCTTTCACGTCTGTTTGTTTTTGTAATTCCCCGTCGTCCTCGACGCGTTCATCGCCTCTTTCGTTTTCTGAACCGATGTGCCCCTTCTCCATACTAGAATCAAACAAAGATTTCAGAATCAACTTGGCGCTGCCTTCTTGCGTTTGCAGCCTTGAAGCGGCCGTGAGCACACGGACTTTCAAAGTTACCAATTGCAGCTGGTCTCTATGGCAGTCCATGTCGAGATGGTTTGTCAGAAAAACGGATAAAAATGTAAAGGCGTCTTCGTATTGTTTTAAAGCCAGGTAGCTCTCCAGGCCAGATTTCAAAACCTTCGGGTCTGCCAGTTCATCTTCACCTAAACGTCGAAGTTTATCGATGACTCCGGGAATCTTCTCAAATCGACTCGTGAGTTTCAGGAGCTCTAGGTACTTCTTGATGATTTCCGGTGAGTCGTCTGCTCCCTCGTACTTTGTTTCTAGCGTTCTGAACGCGTTCCAAACGACCTTGTAGTGGTTCTTCATTTCCGGATCCAAATTAGACAACGTCGCGGCTAAACCAACCGCCTGCATTAATTTCTTCTCGCCATCTTTAGTGTTCTTTTCCATTTCTTCTTTTTCCGTCCCATCTTGTTTTGCGAGGTCAAGAAGGCAAAGTCCGGCCTGTTCGTACGCACACGTCACTGTAATTAGGTATTCTGGATTTTCCTTCCTTTTCTCTCTCTTAATTCCCGAGCCTGAAGTTAACCGAATGATTTTATTAAACTGCATAATGGCGCCCTGCATGTCTCCACACGATCTCAATATCAAGCCAAGATTGTAGCGCGCTGGATTATTGTTGTCGTATGAGATCTCTAAGGCCTGTTTGTAACAGTCGATGGCCTGAAGTACGAGCGAATCATCCCTACTGAGTGGAAGCACTTGAACGGGGCATCGTATGATCGAGAAACTTTTTCTGTTGCTCTGTGTTCTCCCACGTAACCCTCTGTTGGAACCGGTGTTGCTCTGCCGACCCCGTGAGTTCTGCCTGGGTGCTTGGTTTTTGAATCCATACCTGCTGTCCTGTTCACTGTAAGAATGCTGTCTTTCGAAACCTATGCATTGAAATCTGCTGTCTTGCTTATTATACGATTGTTGCTGTCGTTCCTGTTTGTGTCTGCTGTCCTGTCCACTGTAAGAATTGTGTCTTTCATTTTTTTTATCTTGATACCTGCTGTCTTGCTTACTGTATACCTGTTGTCTACCTGAACCGCGATGTTCGAAGCTCACGTTTTGTTCACGAGTGGGGTTGTATCTTCCTGTACTTTGTTGTGTAAATCCCGCACGATCTTTTTTAGGAAACGTTTCAGAATAACTTTTGGCATCACGGCTGCTGCCTTGGTGACTGTAAGCATTTTGGTGGCCTGTGTAACTTATACCTTTATTTCTAATGTCTTGTGAATTGTAGAAAGGTAGACTATCAGAATAATGATTTATATGATATCTCTCTTCTGAATTATAATTATGACCACTTAAATGGAAACCCACTGAATTCCACGCACCAGATTCAGGCTGAATTATCTTTTTTTTTTCACCATATGAATGAGATTTTGACCCATCGCTGCTATATCTCGTTGATGGTTGGGAAGACTTTCCACGCTGGCTTGTACTGTACAAAATGTCCCTTTTGTCGTGGTTTATTTTTGAACCTCTACCGTAATTTCTCATAGGTCTGTCCCGAGAATATATTCCGTCTTCTTGAGAAGAGGACTGGTGAAGCACCGAGTCCGTCTCGAGCATTTCATCCCTTTGGCTAGAAAAGTCAGCCTGACTTCTGCCTTGGCATTTTTTCTCTTGACACTCCAACCAAGCTTTGTTTCTGCATTTCTTGTCGTAACACAGACCAAGATGATGCAAAGTAATGGAATGCTTCTTTATCTTCAAGGACTTCTCCAGAAGATCTGTAGCCCTCTCTAGATCAGAATGGCGCAGGATGCGGCCACACTCTGCAAGTGTCCGTGCATCATTCGGTCCGTATTTCAAAGCTTCTTCTATCAGAGATGGAAGATCGATACCTTCGAAAATGTCTCTGTACTCGGGTGGGCTAAGAAAATTAGAGTAATTGCACATGACCGCTAACTGCGAATAGGCGCGACTACGAAGACTTGAGTCTGGAGACTCGCGGGCCACCTCAAACAGTTGCACAGCTGCTCTCTTGGTGTGCTCTGTGTGTGAATATTCAGTAGACATCGCCGTGTACATATTGCCGTGTGTGGCTCGGCGGTGGGCAAGACCAAATCTGTATTTCCACGCGTAAATTTCGGGTTGCCGTTCAACAACCCGCGCGTATATCTCAATGGCGCGGCTTAGATTTTCAGGGCCGTTCAGCCTGCTGTATGAATACGCGAGTTCAGCTTCAACATCCGTCATCAGCCTGTCCCCTCCACGGCCTTTTCTCAGTTTTTCGGCTTTATCTAAAGATTTCTCGGCACCGGTTTCATCGCCATCTCTCCGAGTGATAAAGGCGTGGTTTACCAGTGACGTGATGTTCGACCACGATGACAGTTTGAGAGCCCTCTCGTTGTGATCTCTGGCCTTCTCGAAGTGGGAAAGTTTAAATTCTATCCATGTGTAGAAATTGACTTTCGCGATGACTTCTTCGAAGCAGTCGTCATCCACATCCAGTTCGTCCTGGAGCTTGATCTTTATCTCTTTCATTCTTCCCGAGGAGGCCTGCAGGGAATCCTTGCTGAACATGCACGGGAAAGACGCCGCCCTGTCTTCAAAGTCCGTGTCTGTGTCACTGTCCATTCTTCACTATGATCTGCAAGAAATAAACAAACTTTAGTTAATTGTCTGTCCCCCCCCCCGCCAACCGGAACTTAATGGTAACATTGCCCGCCTCTTGCAAAAGAGGAATCATGTTCGAATACGTTCGGGGTTGTCCTCGATCAAAAGTCCGTGTCTGTGTCACTGTCCATTCTTCACTATGATCTGCAAGAAATAAACAAACTTTATTTAATTGTCTGTCCCCCCCCCCCCGCCAACCGGAACTTAATGGTAACATTGCCCGCCTCTTGCAAAAGAGGAATCATGTTCGAATACGTTCGGGGTTGTCATCGATCTGGTTAAGATTCAACCTAATTTCATAACCTTAATTTTCACACAGCTGGAATGCAGTCTATCAGCTGTATCATCCTTTAAGCCAAGGGTTCTCAAAATCTGATCAGGCCCGCAAAATCACTTCATCTGGCCCACCGATTAGTCACAAAATTGTAAAAAAATAAAAAATAATATAAATACAGTGGAACCTCTCATAAGGAGCATACTTCGTTCCAGAATCTTACTCGTTAAGCTAAACACTCGTTACACGAACAAATTTTCCCATACAAATCAATGTAAAATACGATAATGCGTTCCATGCTGAAAAAATACTCCTTTTTCAAAAAAATGTATAAACATTTATTCAAATAAAATTACTTATGAATTGTTAAGGAGTGTATCAACTTGGAATACAAATTAGATTTGAAACAAAAAACGTAAATAAAAATATGAATTTATGACATATAATTAATATTTTTTAACTAGAAAACTGTCTAAAGACATTTGTTTTTGCCGACGCTTCAAAATTTGACGAAAATGTGTCACAGCATTAGCATTGAATAAATTTGTAGCACGAATAGCCACCTCCTTATTAGGGCAATGCTTCTCAGTGTACGATGCAACAATTTCCCATGCTTTTAGCATTTCTCTTATTGCGCTAGAAGATTGTTGCTCTGCTACTTCCTCCTCCATTAATGAGCTCTCCTCCATAATTGCTTGCTGTGAAACACGAAGCAACTCCATAAGTTCTTCGGTGGTGAACTCTTGACTGAGCTCTTTCACAAGCTCTTCAATATCGTTGTTGTCCACCTCGAGTCCCATGATATTGGCCAATGACACAATCTCGTTAACTGTAGACTCCACAGGTACTGCTTCAAAATCACATTCAACAACACTCTCTGGCCAAAGTTTTTTTTCCAAGCAGAAGTGAGGGTCCTCTTGGTAGCGCCTTCCCAAGTCCTGGCTCACAAATGAATGTCGGGAAAAGCGGATTTCCCCTTTCTGCGTAACTCGTTAAGCGAAATGTTGCTCGTTAAGAAAGCAACTTCTTCACATTTTGTTTTGCTCGCTATGCGAATTACTCGTTATGAGAGGTTCCACTGTATATACAAAAGAAAATTGTCCAATCACCATAGGACTGATAAGTAAACTTGAAACAAAAATGAATATTCATGAAAGTCCCGCACGATCTTTAATCGGCTTCAAAACTCATCTACAATTTTTCTTTGCATAACATGAACATTGGTCGAATATGATCAAACTGATGTAACAGCTGACTGGATCCCCAAAAAATAACTGGCAACTATTGCAAGTTTCTTCTGAAAGGAAAGGCATTTCTGTTGAATCTATGTGCCAATCTGTTTCTTATTCTGTAGCGAAATATTGAGCTCATTAAAATAGCTAGTCATTTCCTACCCCCAAAAAGGGTTCCTCATAGATAGACAAGGTGCTCTTTAACTTTTAGCAGCTGATTGGGCTTAACCAGGGAATCTCAAACTGAAACTTCCTCATCAAGACGCAGCGGTCTTTTTTTTTTTTTGAGCGAGTTGGTCGCATAATTAGATGCCACTGATGAGGACTCTAAACAATGTGATGACAGGCAAAAATCTCTAAAGCTCATCGTGAATTACTTTGCATTCGTACTCACAAGAATGCCGGGCCATTTTGAGTTGTAAAAGTAACTTTAACTTTTAGCAGCTGATTGGGCTTAACCAGGGAATCTCAAACTGAAACTTCCTCATCAAGACGCAGCGGTCTTTTTTTTTTTTTTGAGCGAGTTGGTCGCATAATTAGATGCCACTGATGAGGACTCTAAACAATGTGATGACAGGCAAACATCTCTAAAGCTCATCGTGAATTACTTTGCATTCGTACTCACAAGAATGCCGGGCCATTTTGAGTTGTAAAAGTAAGTATGAGTACTGGGTGGCCGAGTGGTCTAAAAACCGACTCAAACCAAACAGCTGGTGTTCTGACGTTCAATCCCCACCAAAGCCAACATCCCAAGCAACCCGTGTGGATGGGTCTCGTTAGCCTTGGACGGCAACTCATCTAAGAGAAGGCAAAATCTGAATTAAAACCAGGAGCCACAATGATAAAAGAATTGATCGTTGGCCCCTCAATTATTGAAAAAAAAAAAAAAAAAACTTTCATTTCTCACACGGTCAATTTTGAGTAAATAAATAAAAAACATATTGTTCATCTTTTTGTAAATTTAGTGACCAAAAACAGAGCTGATGTTCAATACTAAAATCAAGCTATTGGCCACTGTTATTTACTAGCATAAATCTAATAAGAATATATCCTTCTTTAGAAGTGGATTATGCAAAGTAGTAATATGAGCTTAACGACGAATTTACAATCAGATAGCATGCCTTGTGGAAGCTATGGTGAAGAAATCAAAGTAGTGTAGCCATAACATCAATATTGCCCGAGGCTCTGGACCCGGCCCTCTGGGCATCTCTAATATCCAACATATGACCAGAGGACCGAAAAAAGAATCTTGAGTGCCCGTGCTTTACGCTCTAGCTCAGTGGTTCTCAACCTTCCCAATGCCGCGACCCTTTAACACAGTTCCTCGTGTTGTGGCGACCCCCTAACCACAAAATTATGATCGTTGCTGTGCACAAGTGTAGATTACATGTATTTTCCGATGGCCTTAGGCGACTCCTCTGAAAGGGTCGTTCGACCCCCGAAGGGGTCGCGACTCACAGGTTGAGAACCGCTGTTCTAGCTTGACTTGGCTTCTGTATTTTTTTCAGGGTCAGACAGAAATCCCAAGTCTAAAAATCTCAAGCACCTATGTTGAAAGACAGCAGCCACCTTGGTGTCGGGTGGATTTAAAGAAGGGCTAAAAAAGATGCCGTCTTACAAATTAAATTAAACATGACGGAATATAATAATAAAATTCATCTTATGATATACATTTTCCATCTGAGGTTGTCGACTTTTGGAGTTTGAAATATTGGTGTTATTAACAGATGATATTGATGCTATGGGCAGGTGGTATTGAAGTTAATGACTAGGGATGTTTATGTTTTTTTACAGGTGACATTGTTTTTATTGATAGGTCTAATCAATATTTTTTTTTTAAATTTGAGGTTGGTATTTTATTCAAAAAAAAAAAAAAAAAGCTTTTGTAACTATTGAAATGTGATAAAGAACAAACAATTTTTTTCAGAATATATCTATTCATCAGTTTGCAAAATATATATTTTGTTAAGTGGAATTCGTTAATTTGTTGGCCAACTATATATGGACATATCTTTGCTCAGACGGAGACTATTAAAACAAGAGGGCTGCCAATTTAGTGACGTTAATTAGTTTTCTATACACCTTTGTAATTTTTTGGGGTAATAGATGGTGAGATAAATGTATTCCGTTTTAATTTGTTATGATTAGACAAAATGAAATTCGAATGATTAGGCAAATGCCTTTATCGGTACAACAAAAAAATCATTAAAATAATTATACATTAAATTCACATAATAATATATTTATATCCTACCTTTCCCTAAAAAGGACAGAAAATAGCTTCTAATATTTGCTTTCGTTAGGAACTGTGCCCATTCATTTTCTTTTCTTAATTGAGTATAATTATAAGTAAATATACATTATATCACGTAAATTTAATCTATAATTATATTAATTTTGTTTGTTGTTTCATTTTTGTACTGATGAAGGCATTTGCGTAATCATTTACATTTGTATATTTTCCAATCATTATTAAAGCTTAACATAAATTGTGTTATTTATAATTGTTTTGTGTCTCAATAATCTTCTTAAATTATGCTATACGGCAGTCCAACCTTTTAATTTACAGACATTACTTTTTGTTGGGGTTTTTTTTTGTGTTTTTTTGCCCAGAGAGCTCTGCTATTAACTTATGGAATATAACAGTATCTAGGCAACCGATAATGTCAACTTTGATTTACGATGGTTTTCGGAACTGATATAATCAAAACTTAAACAGAGTAAATAGTGGGAGTTGGCTGTTTATAATTTTATATTGCCTCATAACCGTACAGTCTCATAACCACCCACTACTACAACTTTGAAATAGATAGCCCTAGATAGCCCTAGATAGCCCTAGATAGCCCTAGATAGCCCTAGATAGCCCTAGATAGCCCTAGATAGCCCTAGATAGCCCTAGATAGCCCTAGATAGCCCTAGATAGCCCTAGATAGCCCTCCCTTAACTTTTATAAAATAAATGACGTATTTCTGATGTCAGTATCAGTACGTACCCGTACGACAGGATGAAAAAAAAAATCGATCTCATTCTTATGTCTGCTGAAGATGAATATCAATATCAATTTGATTGATTTTGCTTATGCATTGCTTCCAAATTTAACAGGCAAGTAAATAAATATTGAAGTTAATATTAAAATTGTTAGGTTTGATGTAAACTTTTGAAAAGTATAGTGTGAGGGGGGCGGTCCGCCCCAGGCGGCTCTTGTTTCTTTACATATTTTAGGGGGGGGGGCTGTATTTTCAGCCAACTGCAGGTTTTTTTTTTCGTGGAAGTGGGTGGTCAAAAAGCGTGTAGCGCCCGGTAGGCACAACCCCTAGTTACTAGAGCTAGCTACGTCATTGAGCTGACTTCCTGGTAAACAATCATGGAGCAGTTAAGGTCGAGGAAAACTAATTTTTGTTTTAAAATCTCCTTTTTATTCCATGGTAGTTAAAAATAACTTTATTTTTCAGTCAAATTTCCAATTGTAAAATGATAAAATTTAATCACAACTAATAACTTACCTACCTCACATAAACTACAAGTCATACATCCATGTCCTCTGTCAACAAGTCATCTTATTTATGAGTCATTCGGGTCTCATGCTCTGTCCGTTCCTTCTGAGTCTTGCGTCCAAATGACAAAACTTTAAAGCACACATGGAGTCATAGAACCATTCCATTTGATATATAAAACTAAATTAATTATGAGTAACAAGTCCTACTAAATAGATCGTGTCGGTATATCATCACGGTGTAAATAAAACAAGAGCAGCTTAAGATAAACAATGCAATGACAGCTAAAACCCCTTGTTTGGTTTCACTATCGCGGATTATTCCCAGAAAACCCAGCTGACGTGACCCAAATAGCTGACTATGCTGTTTCAGTTTGTCGTTCAGGAAGATGAAACTTTCCGGATGTGTACTTTTGCTGTAACTTACGGATGGTAAAAAAAATAACACAGATGACATCATAATGTGTATGCAGCATGTCCTCAACAAAATCCTCTGTCGAACACAAGAAAAACTGGGTCATATATAAAATATATAAAATCACAAGATAACGTATAGGAGGACTGTGCTAGGTAAGGATTTTCTATTTAAACAACTTTAATATTGTTAGCAAAGTTACGTGTCTTTTACTTAAATATAAATATAAACTGTATGTACAGAAAAAAAGAGTCCTAAAATCGGTAGTAAATTCCCCTTTCTTTGCACACACACAAAAAATGTCAAACTTGACCTACTTTCCTTCCATCGCCGAACCTTATACTACGGGCAACCGTTCGCGGGAATATCCATTAAAATTCTCAAACCTGTGCGTAGTTGAGAACTAAAAAGCTACCACTAATCACTAGGATTTTTTTTTTTACATGGCAAGTGTGATGGTTAGTGGCCACGATTCGTAGAATAAATGTAGGGGGAGTCCGCCCGGAAGAGTTGTCCCGACAGAACTCCTCTTTTTGTCTTTAAATTATAAGTAACACAGGTTGAAATATAAAATCTGACCCAGCCCCCCCCCCCTCCCCCAATGCGACGGGTAAAACAATACCCAAAAAAACCCCCATGAATTCCTATACTATCCCTTTGTTGTGGAGCAAGATGTGTCTTTGGCCGTAGCTTTTGGCTTTACTCTGTTACTTTACTTCAGGGAGAGGGAGAGGGAGAGGGTGGGGTAGGGTAGACACACTGTTGGCCTTGATAAAAGCGTTATGGTTTCCCTAGAGTTGGCTCTTTTGACAGATGTTTGACTCAATACATGAAGAAATAAAAGTAATGTATGCTCTTCATCATTACAGAAACACACGATCATTTGCCACCACAGAATGTTCTTTATCATTACTGAAACACACGATCATAAGCCACCACAGGATGTTCTTCATCATTACTGAAACACACGATCATAGGCCACCATAGAACTGTTTCTAAATGTTAAAATCAAATGTTTTTATATCCTTTGACAACAAATCATTTAAAATTGTTAACCTCAATCAACAACGCCAACCACAAAACAAAAACAAAAACAAAATCAGTTGTTCCTGTTTTTCAAGGGGAACTTAAAATGAAATTCCCGATAACTGCGCTAAATGAGATTCTCCTTTAAAGAAAATATCGTGCAAGAGAGATTGGTGCGTAATGTGTGTTTCTAAAATGGTTGGTAATAAAACTGCTGTGTAAAAGTAGGTTGAAATTTAAAGATTAAAATGGTTCAGGGAATTGAAAAAAAAAATGCGGTTACGAGCCTGGTTTGGGGGGGGGGGGCCGCGGGAGGAGCGAGAGATAGAGTATTGGGATTCTTATAAAGTACATTACTTGTGTGCATGTTTTGTCGAATTTTTTTGCTCCCCCTCCCCCCCCCCAACCCCACCCCACCCCCACCCCCAAAAAAAAAACCCCAACAAATTGCTGAATATTGCGTTAAATAAATGATTTATTCGAGAAACTTTGCTTTTAGGGGGTTTTTTTTGTTTTTGTAAATTTTATTTTTCATTTGAGGCGCAGGAGGTGTCGAGTAAAAACGTTAAAAAAATTAATCAAACCACTGAAATATCAGATGCAGTTTTGAAATGAAAAGTTCAAATCGAATTCCACGATTTCGAAGCAGTTTTCTCTGCGTGAAGCTTTTACACATATCGATTAACTTTAACTAAGCTCGGCCAGAGGCGTCACCCGCCATTCGTGGACACATACCACAATGGGGCTAAAGATAAATACTCTAGACATGGGATGGCCAGCCGACCTGCGGGACGCGTGAGCCTGCCACGTCAAATATTGCGTCCCGCGGATGCCTCATCAAAATAAACGTATTTGTTCTTCATTCAGATAACAAACAAATATACTTTTAAAAAACATAAATAAGTGAGAGAAAAAGAAAATTATATCGCAATAGTTAATTTTTACTTTGATTACGTGATGTTTTTTAGCATTTCATTATGTGCATTAAGAACTGATAAACCTTTATATACAGCATTTAGTGGATTTGGGGGGAGGGGGGGTATTTTTAATAGTATTTTAATAGGTGTAATCGCATGCGGTCCGCGAACGGTTTACACACTATCAAATTGACCCACGAAGCCTTTTGGGTTCCCAACTATCTCTCAGGGGCTCCGCGATCACTCCGAAAAACTCTTAAACTACCCCATAGATATTGATTCTGACAAGGGCTCCCCAAGTCAAAAAAAGTTCGGGAACCACTTCTCTAGAGGAATACACTTTATTTGTTATTTCCTCCCCTGAAGTTGCGTTAAATGATTATTTTTAACAGAATGCACGGTCAATAAATAAACACGTTTGTCCCACTTTAAGATGTGTGAAGTTTCAAGCAGAAATAACAAAATATAACAGATTTGTAATGATAACAATAATTAAAAATGACAAATTTTCTGACGACTATAATTGTAAGTGAATTTTTGAATTTTGACAGAAGTTGATGCTACTTTAAAATAGCGTATGATTGAAATTTTGACAGTAGTTGATGTTACTTTAAAATGCGCTATTTCAACGAACTCTTGTAAGTAGTTTTAAAGACTATTTTTCTGAAGTATTTATTTAAGGATATGTTAACTTCTTATAAGGATAAATCTTAGTTTTTGTTGATTTTGGAGCATTAAATACCAATAGTAATGAATACAAATGATAATTTTCAAATTGTTTCATACAAAGAATCATTTTTCTTTATAAGAAACAATGTTCTACCCCGATAAAAATGAGAACATACACATTTACAATAATTGTTTTAAAATGTATCTTAAATCAGAAATTCCTACAATAACACAACATGGCGATGTGGCATCAAGGAAAAGATCCAAAAGACGACCTAAAGGCCAAACTTGAGGGATACCCTAACATGTTTCTATTACAATCGTCCAACGCGCAATCAACACGACTCAAAGAAATCAAACACAACATCGAAGGGGAACGGCGTCACGATTGCGAATGTCTGCAGGAGGTCATCCAGAAGTTAAACTTCTACACGTGGATCGAGTACCGCCTGGATGAAGAGCAGAACGCCGAGGCACTCAACGATGAGGTCTTGGGTCTAACGAACTGGGATGACATGGCGGCGCTTGGGAACAGAGTCTACATCATGTGGCGCAAAGGCAACGAAGATCATGCCGACGAGTGTTTAGAAAAGTTGAGGAGGATGAGACGAGGAAAGAACGGCGACTGGCAGGTCGACCAGGCCCAAGCTCAGCTCGCTTACTGTTACGAGAGACTTGGGGGCGTCAAGGACCTGCTCCAGGCTGAAGACATGTACACCGTTTTGGTGAAGAAACATCCACAGGAATATTACTGGAAATACTTGCTGGGTTTGTCGTGTAGGCGCATCACTCACACAAACGCGTTCGCCTCCAGTAACCAGACATTGAATTCAAGATCCTATACGGAAAAAGCGGCGTCTGTTTTATTTGACGTTACGTTGAACTGCAAGGACCGGGTGGTGCTTGGCTGTGCCTATTCTGAGCTTGCAGTTCTCAGGAGAGACGCTAGGTCTGTTATGCGCAAGGAGGAGGTTAAGATCTTGATGAAACAAAAGACAATGGTAAATTTGTGTGAGAGCGCTCTGAAATTCGGCGACGACAACCCGCAAGTGTTGACTACCTGTGGTAAACTGCTCCGTCTGACGGATAAGTCCAAAGCTATGGAATTGTTGGAAAAGTCATTAAAGCTAAAGGAAGATAGCACCACCTATCATCATTTAGGTTTGGTCTATGAGAATTTATCAAGGTGTGGAGACAAACAAAAGATGCCACAGCCAAGTCATGATACAAAGGCAGAATATCTCAATCTGAATCGATGCAGAAACCACGAAATTCCACTGGATATGAATTCAAAATGGTTTAGCAAAGCTAAACAATGTTACGAGAAGGCCGTACAGCTGTCTTGTCGTCAAAACTTGCCGGCTATCTACAACCTTGGGTGTCTCCTTAAATCTGTTGGTAAATTCTCGGAAGCGTTGACATATTTTAATATGATAACTAACTCGTACAACGTCCGGGAACACGGTCACATCATGACCATCATAAACGCCCACGAACAGTCTGGAATCTGTTTCCTGAAGCTTGATGAGTTAAACCCAAAAAGCGACCGCGTCTGCTACAAGGAGAAGGCAGAGACAAAACTGATGCAGGCGCTAGAGCTGCAGGCCCAGCTTGTCGCTAAAATTCCGGACATGAAAGATTATGCTCTGCAAGTGTGGAACTCATTTAGGACTATGACATCTCATTGGGAGGGAGAGATCGACACTGAAAGCAGAAAAAAATTAATTAACCTGCTGAAGCTTTTCCGAGAATACGGGAAAATGTTGAAAGTCGTTAACGACATCCTGAGCTACAGTGATAATGATCTAGACGACCTTGTGGTTCTCACACAAGGACTCGAGGGTTACCTGGCCTTGAGGCAGTACGAAAAAGCCCTGTCTTTCTTAAACTTGTTGAGACTCCGCCCTGCTTATATTAAGGGTCAGTCCGACCCTCGGCTCGAATCTCTTGCGTTGAAAGCCAACCTCTACACTGCAGCATTCAGGATTCAAACTCAAAATGGATCTGCCGACGCCATCTTTCGTGAAGTATTTCAAAACTTTTCTCAAAATGTATGCAGGGTGTCTACTGCGCGTGAAAAGGACGATCTGAAACGAGAAAGTGATGTAAGGACAAAGGACGAAAAAGCTTCAGATTGTAATGATGATATCATTGATATTTTATTTGTATGCAATGACGACGACTATGACTATGCACTCAACCAAGCCATACAACGCCTTGAGAACACCGCGTCTCATGTCTTCGGGCTGAAGACGGCTGTCAATCTAAGCGTGAGTAGTGCTGTTATCTATCCTATAAACTCCCGGTCAAACTTAAGAGTATTTCATTTTATTTCATGGAGTATAGGACAGCAGCTTCTTAATTTTTTTTTTTACCTGTACCCCTTGATTTCATTTTTTTTTTATTTTGAGTACCAACACTGTGCCCCCCCCCCCCAATAGCGAAGTATAGCTTCTCGTAAACGAACGGGTTTAAAAAGAAACACTTTTTTTTTTCGCCATCATCAATATAATTTTTGCATACCCTTAAGTGGTGCAGTCTATCGGCATCCTTCCGTCTCGTGAGACGATGGTGCATCACCGTTGGGTTGGGTTGCATTTTCTCGAGTGGCTGTGCAGTCCTATCCTTGAGCGACAGTCTTTACCACAGTTTTTACACACGAGTTCCGTGCTTCCAAATGTTTTGGCCTTTCTCCTAGCTCTTCTGTCTGCAGCCTCTTCCATTCTTCGCTCCTCGGCTACCATGACGCCCTCTTTGACAACTGTGCGCCACGTAGATCGGTCTTTTGCCTTAC